CGTTGTACCGTTGTTAACATTAATACCCACATCTCGTACTTTGTTTACCTGGCAATGAGGCTCTAGCCGCAAGCGACTGGTGCTCTAAGTCAGGTGCGACAAGTCAGAGGCCGTAGGCAAGGACGGCAGGCTGGCAGGCAGGCAGCGGGCTGCAGTAGTAGGTGGCAAGCTATGGCAGCAAGCTAGGAGCTGCAAGGGCGGGCGGCGAGCTGCAGCAGCAGGCTATAAGCTGCATCCGTGGCGGAAACCTCTAGTAGCAGGTGGCACACTATCAACTGTGGCGGGCTAGCATGATGGGCGGCGGTCGGCGGGCTCACATAGTGGACTAGCATGACAGGAGGCGGGATATCATGACAGGTGGCGGGTTTGCCAGACTGGAGGCGGGCCCACAGAGTGGGCATGGGCTCTTGCGACGGGGTAAAAACAAGGGGCGATGAGGCTAACAAGTGGGGCCACGGGGGCCAATCCTAGGCGCGACAGTATGGGCCCACGGGGGCCTCACCTAAGTGCGACAAAAATGGGCCCACAGGAACCTTGTTTAAGGTTGACAAAATGGGCATGTTGTTCGGTGCTTGCTGTGTAGTGCGGTGTTGGCAAAACAGTGGCAGTGTTAGCCTTTCGTAGAAGATGGAGTCACGTGAACGGGTGAGTTTGTCGGTGGAGAAGTCGAGGATCGTCCATCCATGGTATTCTGGCTCGATTTCGAGGTGAAAACTCCAATGTTACAAGAAATCCTTGCAGTGGGGGTTGCAGTAACCCGCAGCATCCTAGCATCAGGGTTTTCTTCTATCAATGCCTTGAAGGGGTGATTATTGTTGGTCAGGGCCTTTGAAGATGAAATGTTGTGTAGCCGGACAGCGTGGGCCATCGCGTAGGGCTAGTAGGTGGTTCGCATGGCTAACTGCTTCATGAGTGCCTTCATCTTGGTTGCTTGACTCCTGTTGGTTCGCTCAGCTAACCTTGTTGCTCGTAGGCAAGAATCAGGAAAGGCCTCCATGTGATATTTTATCGTTCGGTTAGTTTGGGAGGCATTTGTTTTTCTTTCTGATTGTCGCTGTGCCATTCAAAGCCATAGGCAAAAGCAGTCAAAGGCTTGGTAGCGAACTGTTGACGTTGGCTGCCCAGACGAACCTCGTGTTGGCATCGATGAAAGTTGTCATGTAGTGCCCCCCTTTGATTCCTTCAGTAGTGGGGTACAGAATATCGCTGTATACATTGTCCAGCTTCTCAAAGCAATCTAGATAGAGGATCTTCCCCCAGAGATGGGGAGTGTGTCAATGTGGTTTCAGGGCAGCCGGTGCAGACGTGTGGCTGAGCTCCCGTCAGAGTTCATCGCCGTTCAATAGCAATAGGGCTCCGTCCGTGAAGACTTTGGCGTTGATAGAGTTGTTTAGGGCTTCCACTAAGTGATGTCCAAGTCTTTGATGCCATATCTCCGCTATCGCTCCATGTCCTTGTGTTCGAGTTTAAAGGCGAACTTCTCTTGTGAAACTATGAGCGGAAGAATGGATGATGAAACTAGGCAGGAATGGGATACAAATAGGAAACCCTAAATGGGTTGTACGCAGACGGGGAACTCAGCGGCTGCTTCACCGTGAAAATCCACATGCCATCGACTATGTTTGCCCCAGGAGGGGGAACTATGTCGATGTATGTGCCTGTGTTCTTCCAGGATTCCATCTCTACGTCCATGATTGTCTGCCACTGCGAGGAGGAAGGATACGTGATCGCCTCTACGTAAGGGTGCGGGGTCGGGATGTCCGATGCATACGGCTCCCTCAAGGGCAAGCAGCATGGCCACGAGATGAGGTAAAGCAACCACGAGGCACTCTAGCTCAAACTATCTGTCCTCAAGGACGTCACAACCAAGGGCAAGTTGACCCCCGACAGACAGCGAGAGTTAGAAACAAGACTCACGAGGTAGTCAAGTCGGCAGGTAGCTGCAAACTCAACGAGCTCAGTGACTAAGGCAGCCGTAGCAGCAGACAAAAAAAGTAGGGTCCGTCACAAGCGCTGCAAAACAACGAGTGACAGTCAGACTGGCAGCATGAGCATGGTCAGACACAGGGTCATGAACGTCACGAAGAGATGACGCTAGAGGAGATGGCAGGATAGGACGCACTAGGAACACGGGGAGGGCAAACACGGCGAGCACGTCAAGTACAAGCAACATGTGAGGCAGGACGAGATGCAAGCTCTAAATACTCAGTCAGGGAGTCTGTGAACGAAGTGTAACGAGAAAGAACAGGCAGTGGGGAGTCAGGCGGTAACTGTGTCTGAGACAGGTCAGGCGGTGGACACAGTTGAGGAGTAGTACCAAGGAAAGACGGCTCTGCAGAGGCAGGCAGAAGACGGAGAACCTGGTGAAGCGCCGAGCCGGGGGGGGAGGGGGGCGGGGGGCAGTGACGACTTCGGCTGCTCCTAGAACAACGCTCGGCGTGGCAGCGGCTGCGAAGCACCCCCAGAACTCCAGTGCAGGAACTAAGAACACCTCCAGCTCTAGTACAGCCAATACCCTCAGTGGCCGCACCTCCAACTCGGGAACCTCCAGCTCCAAAACCTCTAGCATCACCAGAACCTCTAGAACCTTCAGCACCAGAACCTCCAGCACCTCCAGCTCCCGGACCTCCTGCCCCAGAGCCTCCAGCACCTCCAGCACTAGAATCTCCAGTGCCTTTAGCTGCTGAACCTCCAACTCCAGCACCCCAAAACCTCCAGCAACGAACCCAGGAGGTGGCAGCAACATCTGATGCTGCTCCCAGAACAAGGGTTGTCTTCTCAGAGGGTGCAACGTACTCGTAGAGCCTCCAGCAGTAGTACCCTCAACTCCACCATCACGAGGACACTCAGCACCGCCCTGCAACAGCACCCTCAGGGTCAACACCCCCAGAGCCAGCACCCCCAGAACCAGCACCCCCAATTTCAGCACCCCTAGAGCCCGCACCTCCAGCGTCACCACCCACAACAGCACCAGAGGCCACAACGACAAGCTGTAGAGGCGGCGAAGATAGCCGAGGCGGAAAGCCAGGAGGAATCTCCAAGCGCCGTGAGCGGCGAGAGACCACCATATCTTCAGCAGTAGGGTCACCCCCCTCAGCCGGGCTAGAGGGGTCTGAGGAGACCTCCAAAGGTTCAACCAAGGGGGGTGGTGTGACCTGAGACACACCTACCGGGGGGTAGCCTAGAACCCAGAAGAGGGGCGGGGGGGGCACCGGAGAACTGCGGTGGGGGAAGAAACTGTAGTAGCAAACCGACTCATCAAAGGTCCGTGGTAGGACAGGACACGGTGCATGACCGGGTGGTAAAACTGCTAGTCGAGCGCGCCGTCAGGAAAGCCAAGGAAGACGCAGTGAATTGTGCAATGAGAGAGCTTGCCCGCGGTAGAATCGTGGACAAGGGCAAGCGAACCCCAGACCCAAAATGCCGACGCATCGCCTTCCTTCCCCGTCCAATGAAGGGTAGGTGAGGTCTCTGGCTTGGAAACACGGGGCCAGAGGTTTAGCTGATGCGCGGCGTACCGGACCGCAAATGGCCATAGAAATAGGGAGCAGCTGCATGGATCATGGAGGTGCGAGCAACCTCCATGATCAAGCCAATGCAGTGCTCAGCGACCCCATTCTGTTGTGGAGAGGCCGGAAGCGTGAACGACTTGGTGATGCCCTCCTCACGACAAAAATCCTCAAGGAGGTCGGAGGAAAACTCACCTCCACGGTCAGAGTGCAGATGGATCACCGGGAGGTCTTGACAAAACCGTGCGCTCAGCTAGTGATGAACAGCACAGATCCGTGGGATCAAAACAACACGGACGCCTACCTTGTGTTTCAAGGGAAACATCGTGGTGTAGCGCAGGAGTTCATCGACGACCAGTAGAAAGTAGCACTCCCAGCGTGGCCCAGGGACAGGAGCAGGGACCCACACATCCATGTGCAGTGTCAGCAAAGGAGCAGTGGTCAGCGGAAACGAGGAGTGAGGAGCGGCGCGCTGCCGCCCCTTGACGCAAGGAGTGCATGGCGGCGCAAGTGACGGCGGGAGCGGGGGCAGGGACTACGGGAGGCCAGAGACAAGGAAACACGAGTGCATGCGACGCAGAAGCTGGAGGAAGGGATGACCAAGACGGTGGTGCCAGAGGAGGGACGGGTGCATGAGTAACCGACATGAGCAACACGCAGCTTCCTAACCTGACGCAGCCACCTGAGTAGACTCAGTGTGCAGTGTGTATAGTCCAGACCTAGGCCTACGTGTGAACGTGGCAAGGTGTTCTCCAGTCACCATGTCCGTAGAGATCACCACGCGCTCGCCCCCAGGAGTGGTGGTGGTGGCCATCATATCCTGGAGGTGAGCGGTACTCACCAAGTTCGTAGCGAACGAGGGGAGGTGGAAACCTGTGAGGGAGCCAGAAGAGGCTGCCAGATATGGGAGAACAATGACCGGACCAGAGGAAGGGTCCGCCAGGGTGACAGGGACAGGTGCCGGGAGTGGTGTGACAATGGTGCAGTTGTGGAAGAAGCACCTAGATGCGCCAGAGCCAAGTTTGAAGGTGAGCAACAACTCCGTAGAAACTACACTAGTGCTAGCTATCTCACAGGCATCTACACTAGCAGCCTCTACACTACCAGATCTAGGCACACAAGAATAACATTCACCCTCAGCACTAACACTAGCAGCATACATAGCATACATGCCAGCAGAGATCTGGTACCAAACCAGAGAAAATACTCCGCCCTTCTAGAGAAATCCTAACCAGTCAGGAATTTTGGCCTGCTCACCAAACTCCGCGCAAAAGACATCGTCGAGGCGGTAGAAGTAGCGGGACTCTGTGTTCCCAAGTTTGTCGTAGACGCCTGGAGGGGGACCCGTGCACTGGACGTACTGGACCTCCACCTCCGGCCCCACCTTGCTGGGCAACCCACTCATGAAGCTGCTGCGGCCAGAGAGTCTCCTGCCAACGTGGATGCTGCAGCTGCCCACCCCCAGAACCTCCGCCTTTACCAACTGAACCACTAGATGTAGCCCCTCGGGTAGACGTACCACCCCACCACCCCCACTGGCTCCACCACCCCCGCCACCTCCACCGCCACCACCACCTCCACCACCCCCACCACCGCCACTGCCACCAACCCCACCACCGCCAGCGCCACCACCACCTCCACCACCCCCACCGCCCCCACCCCTAGTACGTGCACCCTTGCCGCGGCGCCTCCCACCAGGGGCAGACGCAACACCGACCTCCTCAGCACCAAGGAAGTAGTGGCGACGACAGAAGGCACTAGAAGGGAAGGGGAGCACCCCTCAAAGAAGGAGGAGCTGGGAGTACCACGGGGGGCAGCTACAGCGTAGGCACTAGTTTCAGCCTCAAGGAGACGAGTCTCAAACGAGGCAAGGGTGAGCTCAGAGGGGTCTAGGTAGAGAAAGTAGTCTCGAGCAGTGCGAAGAGAGTCAGGGAGGCGGGTCGTGAGGAAGTAGAGAGTGATGTACATAGGGGGTCAGTTCTCAGCCAGAAAATCTGGCTTGGAGGAGCGCGGTAGCGAGTGTCAAGGGAGCGCAGTTGGGTCATAAGGTCAGTGACAGTGGGGAAGCCAGACAGCTCAGGAAAGAGAAACGGCAGGAGAAGACGGCCTAGGGTGGCAAAAGAGGGTGAGGAGTAGCGCTTAACTACAGCGTCATAGAGCGCTTTTGCCATTTTCTGTTGATGAAAGTGGGACCTCTAGTCGGGCGGGAGGTGAGAGCAGACTGCAAGCTGGGCAGTGGTGTCGCGTGCAACCACTAGGTACGGGCAATATGGTTAGTCCTAAAGTGTTGCCGCAGATCCTCAGTAGTGTTAGGGCTAGGGTCAGTCGCCTCAAGTGGGGCAGGAAGGGACCTCGACGTGTGCTAAAAAAGTGAGGCATCGTCCTTGGTAACGCTCTGTAGGTACAAGTGGAGGTCTAGAAGCCGAAACTCATACTCTATCGGGCGGCCCTCTACGTCAAAGGTGAGTACAGTAGGTGTCGTCATGGTAGGCAGTGGCACTTACAGGCAGTGTCGCACGGGCAGCAGCGGCGGTGGTAGCTGCTGTAGCGGAAGGTGCAGCGGCTGCAGTGGCGACGGCGCCTGCAGCGGTAGCAGCAACGGCAGCTGCAATGGCAGCAGCGGCGGCTGTAGCGGCAGTGGCGGCGGCTACTGTAGCAGCAGAGGAGGCGGCTCCAGTGGCAGCAGCGGCGGCGGCGGCTGTAGCGGCAGCGGCAGTGGCAGCGGCAGCTGCTGTACCGACAGTGGCGGCGGCTGCTGTGGCGGCAGGGGCGGCGGCTGCAGTGGCAGCAGCGGCGGCTGTAGCGGCAGCGGCGGCGGCGGCTGCTGTAGTTGCAGGGGCGGCGGCTGCAGTGGCAGCGGCGGTGGCTATAGCGGTAGCGGCGACGACAGTGGTGGTGGCTCCAGTAGCAGTGGCGGCGGCGGCGGCGGCTGTTGTAGCGGCAGGGGCGGCGGCTGCAGTGGTCAGCGGCGGCGGCAGCGGCAGCTGCGTCGGCAGCTATAGCGGCAGCGACGGCGGTTGCTGTAGTGGCAGGGGCGGCAGTTGCAGTGGCGGCAGTTGCAGTGGCGGCGGCGGCTGTTTTAGGGGGAGTAGCGGCGGCTGCAGTGGTAGCGGCGGCGATAGCAGTGGCGGCTGTTGTAGTGGAAGCAGCAGCGGCGCACGGGGCAGGGGCGGCACGCGAGCAGCGGCAACGGCGCACATGAGGCAGCGCGAAGGGGTGCGCAAGTGAAAGGCCGAGTGCGCGGGGCAGGGCGAACGGGCGGAGCAGTGCGAACGCGCGGGGCAGGGCAAACGCGTAGGGCAGGGCAAATGCGCGGGGCAGGGCAAACGCACGAGGCAGCGCGAACGCGCGGGGCAGCACGAACGCGCGGGGCAGGGCGAACGCGCGGGGCAGGGCATCGCGCGGTGCGCAGGCAGAGGCGTCTCGCAAGGCAGTGCGAAGGGCATGCAGAGGGCAGTGCGCTGGGCGGTGCAAAGGGCGCACGTGGGGCAGCACGAACGGCGCGCATAGGGCAGCGCGCTAGGGGCAGCGTGGGGCAGCACGGAACAGTGTAGGGCAGCGTGGGGCTGAGCGAACCTAGGTACATCATTAGGTACGGCACTAGGATCTAACCTAGCCTCGGATACCATGTGAAGAATGGAAGACAACGGAATGAATGTGACTAGCAGGTGTTGGGTGCAAATAGCAAACCCTAATTTGTGTCCCCCTTACAGCTAACCTTACCGTAGCCTAAATAACAACATGCATATGAGTTTGACACTTTCCCACTCTCGCGTGCTCTATATGAGCTAGCATGACAGAGGCGAGGGCACAGTCTCGTAATGAAACATTGCGCTACAATGATACCTTCTAGAATATTGATTCAACCATTGAGTTATTCCAACAGAGACGTAGGTTATCTTGATGCGCTACTTTGCCGAGAAGTAAGTGAAAGGTTTTCGAAATAAAGAATATAGAACGTACCATGCTTTGTAAATGAATTACATGTTTTCCTTAATTTAATGTAGGGAAGATGTACAAGCAGACTTCCAGATGCAACTGTTTCAATGGAAGTTGTGACACCTAAGGATAATATGATCTTTTTATATATATAATCTTGATTTTAGTTTATTTGGCACAGATAGTTCATTGATTTAGATTCAGGCAACGACCACTTTCAATGTCGACTTTCAGTCTGGCCAAAGACGGGTAAGATGCTCATCTTCCGAATCGCACTACCTCATCGTAGCTTCTCGAATGTACGACACCACCCTCAACCGTCAGTCTCAGCCAATCGTATCACAGACATTTACTTTTGACCTGACCGTTCCACGCGGAATTTTGAATCATGCGTTCCCAAGGCTCCACAATTCTGCCCAGAAATGATGCTAGTGCCACAATTTCTTCTCGTTTGGGTAGAAGATTCCCTCAATTCCCTCCCTCACCTCACCACCCCTCCCCTCCTCACCTGCGCCTCTTCTGTTCGCCATGCCCCAATCCCTCGTCTGAAGTATTGTGAAGGTCTGAGCTGACAAGGTCAGCACAGTTTTTCCCTAGTAGCCACCGAACAGCTAGAGTATTTCAGAAAGCTAGCTCTCATATTACTAATTAAGTAGGCCGAATATCTGCGCGGGAGGCGCACCTGCTTGTTATTTGAACGGAGTGAGTATTGAGGGCTGTCTCAACAATACTGTAATATTGCCAGACGACAACCGGCGTTTGGGTAACAAGCGGAACGCACGATTCATTTCGAGTCGGGAGTTTGCATATACCTTTGAAATACCTCTTCGAGTACTAAGCTGAACCAGAAAGAACCCAATTGAGCAAGACCTTTCATTCTCGCCACCCAGGGTCCAAAAGCATTCCCAAAAGCAAGGGTCACATTGCTCCTCTCGAGAAACAATAAAAGCACGCCGTCGTCGTCATGGCGACGTCAGCGGTGGGTTTCAAGCCGCGCGAGGACCACAAGAAGGCCAAGGAGCTGGAGGAGGCGCGCAAGGCGGGGTTGGTGCCGGCCGAGGTGGATGAAGACGGCAAGGAGATCAACCCGCACATCCCGCAGTACATGTCATCCGCGCCGTGGTACCTCAACGCCGATCGACCCGTGAGTAGTTCCTGCAAAAAGGCACTGCTTTTCCGTTTTTGAAGACGCGCGCTTTGAGAGTTATTGTAGTTGTCTCGCGTTGTCAGTGGAAGGCTGATACCACAGTGAATGGTAGTACCTGTGAGAATTAGTCGTAGTAATTCTAGTACCCAGGAGCAAGGCATGCATAAAACGAGTTTCCAGCCTAACTAGAAAATAGTTCGTTGCTTATGTCTTGGAATGATACTAAAGAGAATAGCCGATGACGACTCCCAGCTCGTTGTGTGGGTGTGTCTCAAAATATGCGTTTTATTGTTACTCTACATGCGTGCTTGTGCAGAGCTTGAAGCACCAGCGCAACTGGAAGGCGGAGGGCGGAGGGCAGAGCAAGAACTGGTACGACCGCGGAGCCAAGGTGTTCCAAGCCACCAAGTACCGCAAAGGCGCGTGCACCAAGTGAGTTCCCCCGGTGATGCGCTGTGAGAGTTCCTCCAGTGCTGACTCATGCGTGTCTCGACTGCTGGATCATATTCCTTTCTGCCGTTTTCATCCCCAGAGAAAGTTTTGTCCCACGATAGCATCCAGGAATGTTTAGCTCATGCCATGCGCCTCATAGCTCATGCCATGCGCCTCATAGCTCATGCCATGCGCCTCATAGCTCATGCCATGCGCCTCATAGCTCATGCCATGCGCCTCATAGCTCATGCCATGCGCCTCATAGCTCATGCCATGCGCCTCATAGCTCATGCCATGCGCCTCATAGCTCATGCCATGCGCCTCATAGCTCATGCCATGCGCCTCATAGCTCATGCCATGCGCCTCATAGCTCATGCCATGCGCCTCATAGCTCATGCCATGCGCCTCATAGCTCATGCCATGCGCCTCATAGCTCATGCCATGCGCCTCATAGCTCATGCCATGCGCCTCATAGCTCATGCCATGCGCCTCATAGCTCATGCCATGCGCCTCATAGCTCATGCCATGCGCCTCATAGCTCATGCCATGCGCCTCATAGCTCATGCCATGCGCCTCATAGCTCATGCCATGCGCCTCATAGCTCATGCCATGCGCCTCATAGCTCATGCCATGCGCCTCATAGCTCATGCCATGCGCCTCATAGCTCATGCCATGCGCCTCATAGCTCATGCCATGCGCCTCATAGCTCATGCCATGCGCCTCATAGCTCATGCCATGCGCCTCATAGCTCATGCCATGCGCCTCATAGCTCATGCCATGCGCCTCATAGCTCATGCCATGCGCCTCATAGCTCATGCCATGCGCCTCATAGCTCATGCCATGCGCCTCATAGCTCATGCCATGCGCCTCATAGCTCATGCCATGCGCCTCATAGCTCATGCCATGCGCCTCACAGCTCATGCCATGCGCCTCACAGCTCATGCCATGCGCCTCACAGCTCATGCCATGCGCCTCATAGCTCATGCCATGCGCCTCATCATGCCATGCGCCTCATAGCTCATGCCATGCGCCTCATAGCTCATGCCATGCGCCTCATAGCTCATGCCATGCGCCTCATAGCTCATGCCATGCGCCTCATAGCTCATGCCATGCGCCTCATAGCTCATGCCATGCGCCTCATAGCTCATGCCATGCGCCTCATAGCTCATGCCATGCGCCTCATAGCTCATGCCATGCGCCTCATAGCTCATGCCATGCGCCTCATAGCTCATGCCATGCGCCTCATAGCTCATGCCATGCGCCTCATAGCTCATGCCATGCGCCTCATAGCTCATGCCATGCGCCTCATAGCTCATGCCATGCGCCTCATAGCTCATGCCATGCGCCTCATAGCTCATGCCATGCGCCTCATAGCTCATGCCATGCGCCTCATAGCTCATGCCATGCGCCTCATAGCTCATGCCATGTTCCTCATAGCTCATGCCTCATAGAGCGACCGTGTGGTGGCGCACACAGCTCGTTATGTGGCGCCTCATGCTCACCACTCCTTCCATCACCTCCCCCTTCCTTCCATTATCAACCCCCTCCTTCCATCATCACCCCCCTCCATCCATCACCATCCCCATCCATCCATCACCATCCCCCTTCGTTCCCCCAACCTGCCCTCGTTCATCCCTGTCCGTCACCCCCGTTACCCTGCGCAGCCATGACGCAAGACCACACGCCCTCCGCTGTCCGTCCACACACACACCTCCTCTCCCAACCCCCCACCCCCTTTTATTCGTCTCACTCATTCAGCTGCACATGTGCTCGCCTCTCCTCTCTGCCCTCCCTTCATCCTGTCACGCTCGCAGCTGCAGAGCCATGCCGTATGAGCAGAGCGCGGAGCAAGTACCGTGCGCTGCGCCTGTGTGCCAGGCACCACAGAACATGCTTCTTGTCTTGCTTCCGTTGCGTCTGTGGAACCATGATGCACGACGACAAGTCATGACCCCAGCCACGACCACAGAGGGGAGGAGGAAGAAGCTGACCCTTACTTGTCATCTTCGCCATGAGGGGGAAACGGGTCAACCCGCCGACCACGAAACATGCCACCGACGCAGAAACGGCTATGATTCACCCTCCTCTTTCTCCCTGTCACTCACGCAGCTGCGCGCCGCTGTGGGTCCCCTCTACACGGAACGCCCACGGAAGATGGGAGAGCGGCCCATGGCGGCGGACGACAAGGTGGAGTCGTTCGAGCTGCCCGCCTGTGATGTGGCTCTCCTCTCCCCATCCCCCTCACGTCTCTCGCTTCTCCTCCCATCCCTCCCCTCATGTTGCTACTGATTCGCGGGTGCACGCATGCACGCACGCATGCAGCTGCGGCGCCATGACGCACGAACACAAGTCGTGCACGGAGCGGCCGCGGAAGCTGGGCGCGAGGTTCACGTCGCAGTTTATTGCGCCCGACGAGAAGGTGGAGTCGTTCGACCTCGACTTCGACGGCAAGCGCGACCGCTGGAACGGCTTCGACCCCTCCACGTACGCGCGCGTCGTCGCCGCGCACGGCGTGCGCGAAGAGGCGCGGCGGAGGTTCCGCAAGGAGCAGCAGCTGCGGAGGCTCAGTGGCGCGGGGGGGGAGGCGGGGGAAGCAGGGGAAGCGGGGGATGGGGGTGAGGAGGGAGAGGGAGAAGGGAAGGGAGGGGGAGAGGAGGAGAGGGATGAGGCGAGGGTGGACGAGAGCGAACAGCGGGATTTCGCCAAGGTGGAGAAGCGCGTGAGAACGACGGGAGGCGGCAGCACTGGGACGGTTCGCAACCTGCGGATCCGCGAAGACACGGCAAAATACCTCCTTAATCTGGATGTCAACTCCGCGTACTACGACCCTAAGACGCGGTCGATGCGCGAGGACCCGAATCCTGGAGGCGAAGCGGACGAGAAGTTTTATAAAGGGGATAATTTCAATCGGATCAGCGGGCAGGCGGTGGAGTTTCATCAGCTCACGCTGCACGCGACTCGCGCGAACGAGGCGGCGCGCGACGCGCGCGGGGAGGTGCACGTGCAAGGCGCGCCCAGCCAGGCGGAGCTGCTGCACCGCGAATTCAAGGTGCGCAAGGAGCGGCTGCTGGCTGCGAAGCGCGAGGCGGTGCGGGAGAAATACGGCAACGCGGCGGCAGATCCCGAGGCGGACGGCGTGACGGGCGCGCTGCTGCTGGGGCAGACGGAGACGGCCGTGGAGTACGACCGCAGCGGACGCGCCGTGAAGGGCCAGGAGAAGCTGGTGGTGGCGCGAAGCAGGTACGTGCAAAAAGGCAGGTGCGCGCAGTGGTCATGCGAAATGGACTGGAGGGCGTGCAAGGAGGGAGGGAACGGCGTTATGAAGGGACAGGAGTAGCAGGTGAGCGCAGTGGTGGTCAGCGAGGTACGTGCGGTGGTAACCAGCACTCGAGGATGACGATACAAGAAAATCAAGTACTATAAATGGAGATAAAAGTATCGCTTGTGAGAATACTCAAAAGCGGTACAAGCCTGTGAATGGAATCAGGTCAATGAGAAGGTATGGTACGTGTGAATGAGCAAATACGCGAGGTGGTAAATATGCAATGACAAGATGCACAAATTCATGTCGATTTCCTTAGATGCAAGAGGAGCATCTTGAGTGGCTGAATTCAAGGAAGAAATAATGGTGCGGATGTTTTTCACTAATTCTACCATTCTACTTTCCTTCTCATTTCAATTTGTATTTATATTATTGCCCTTTATCTTCACAATAATTGTTTATCTTTCATTGCCACCAGGTACGAGGAGGATGTGTATGTGAACAACCACACATCAGTGTGGGGATCCTACTGGAAGGATGGGCAGTGGGGCTATGCCTGCTGCCACCAAATGCTGCGCCTGAGCTATTGCATAGGCTCGGCAGGCATCCAAGCCACAGAGGCAGCTGCGGAGGCCACCAAAGCTGCTGGTTTGGCAGGCGCTCTGGGTGATGGTAGGGGGGGGGGCGAGGGTGGGAAAGAAGGTGGTGAGGGTGGGGGTGATGGAAGCAGAGGAAAAGCGGCAGCTGCAGGGGCCGGGGTGGCGTTGCCGTGGGGAAGTGCAGGAGGGGAGGACGTGGATCCATCGACACTAGACCCGGAAAAGCTTAAGCAGGCTGCTAAGAAGGTATGTGCTTCTGTTGACATGCGCATGGACCGTAGTGGTTTGTTGCAGTTATTGACGGTCCACCATCTCAAGCAATGTATTTCATCACCTGGTTCTCAAGTCAATTTGTGCAGCTTTATTGTTAGCCTGGCATGCCGATTTGGCGTTACTTCCGTTGTCCTGTATTTGTTTAGCCAATTCACTTGGTAGTATATGCTAAAGGGCCCTTCAGACCCCTCCATCATTCCCTCTACCACAATCAAAGTGGTTGATTTGCATTTTTTTCTTCTTTATATACACATCACCTGCTTCCGCCTCTTCCCCACTTTCATGCAGGTGGGTAATTTGGACCAAGATTCAGAAGTACATAGTGTATAGATGCACACATAATATTAAAACTCTTATAGTGATGCCCATACCGCTCGTATTCCTCTCTCTCACCCCCTTTCCCCATATGCATGACAGATGGAGTTGCATGCAATGGAGGAGAAGGACGAGAGGAAAAGAAAGTACAATGTGCGGCATGTTGACGAGGTATGTGTCTTGCTGATATGTGGCACGATGGTGCTGAATGTGGCATGACAATAGGGTATTTGTATTCAAAATCTGTCATGGTGATGCTGATTGTGTCATAACAATGAGTTGTCGTGCATTATGATCATGTGTTAGGTTGCAGGAAGATGGGATGTATGGCATTAGGTGTTCGGCGTAATGATGCAGAACGCTGAGTGTTGATCATGATGACTGGTTCATCGCTGGCCTAGTGCTACATGTCTTGCTAATCTTCTTTTTTGTCTTATTCCAAATTTCACATGATGGCAGGTCACAGCTGAGGATATGGAGGTATATCGGCGTAGCAGAGTTCACTATGATGATCCCATGAAAGATTATGCTGACAAGGAATGATGTGTCTGCCTAGGCCCTGTATTTAAAACATTGGCGAAATGATGTGCTACTAGAAAAGATGTTTTGAACAAGGTGGTTGAACCGTATCTATGGCAATTCAGTTGATACCATATAGATGAATAATTTAAAAAATAAAATTCTAAATTTAATGATTGTGACAAGATTCGAAAAGGGGGAATGCAATAAGGAGGCATTCCCCCCCTTATCCTTCGGCAGGTCCACAGACCTGCCACCTAGTCTCATTTCATCCATCTCAGTTTGAGTTTGGCACACATTTGCTCTTACCGTAAACCCCCGGATATAAGACCCGGGGGGGTATTATGCTATACACACAAAAAAAAATGGGGGGGTCTAAATAAATGGCATATATTTTATAAGACATGGGTCTTTACAAAATGTTTTTTTTTTAGACATGTTTTTGAACTTAGAGAAGTGAATGGGAAGTGCTCCGTTTTTAGCGCCTCGAAAAAATATGTGAAATTGTCTCGACGAGGATCAAGCGCACGTCATCACGAAATCTAGCTGGAAGTCTTGAATTTCAATACTCTTGACCCTCCCTTAGTGCACTGCCAGCGTGTCCAGTCAGAATGAGCTGTCACGTGTGGCAATTGGCTCATTCTTTACTGTTTGTGTTGGCAGGAAATCATTCCCTGCCAACTTGCTCGATATACTCCACCACATCCCTGTGTCAGAATATATTTGTGTAACTGCCTGTAGCTGTAGTTTAGTGTAGCAATCATAAACTGTTGGTGGTGGTGCACCATTCTTCTCCCTTGCCTATTTGTACTGTTCGCTCCATAGTGAACGACATTCTCGTCCCCCTCCTTTGGCACAAAATCACTCGTCTTCCCGTGGCCTAGGCTACTAAGCCTAGGCCCTACTTAAACCTACTTTCTTGCTACCTACCTATCTTAACATGATATTAGAGCCTGTCAAGTCCTGGCCTGTGGGCCAGCCTCTCGCTTCCGCTGCTGTTTTTCCGGTCGCGCGCCTCGGGCGCGTGGCGATTTTCAACCTGTCCCGCGCCCGGGTGGCGAGTGACGTTTTTTCTACCCGTCGCGGACCCGCCCCTGGCGCCCGCGACGGTTGCCTGAGCCGCCGCGAACCCGCCCCTGGCGCCCGCGACGGTAGCCTGAGCCGCCGCGGACCCGCCCCTGGCGCCCGCGACGGTTGCCTGAGCCGCCGCGGACCCGCCCCTGGCGCCCGCGACGGTAGCCTGAGCCGCCGCGGACCCGCCCCTGGCGCCCGCGACGGTAGCCTGAGCCGCCGCACATCCGCCCCTGGCGCCCGCGACGGTTGCCTGAGCCGCCGCGGACCCGCCCCTGGCGCCCGCGACGGTGCCCTGAGCCGCCTCTGCCTCACCCGTGCCTGTGCTGCCCATGTGTCTGATCCCCTTCCCCTCCTCCTCCTTTCGTTCCCACTGCTGCAGCTGCCGCTGGGGGGGAGGGTGTGAGGGTGTGGGGGAGCTGGGGGAGAGGTGCTAGGGTTGTCGAGGAGTGTGGAAGGGGGATTTGGAGGACTGGGGGAGGTTCCAGGAAGCAGCCGCCTCGGTGGCCAGCAGCTTCACCTGCCATCAGCTTCTCATCTAGTCCCTCCTCCTCCTGACAGCTTCTCTAGTTCTGCCTCTTGTCTCTTTGCTGTTATTTGTGAACTTGTCACTGCTCTTGCCTACTGCTGCTTTCCTCTGCTTGGTGTACCCATCCAAGAGGTGTCGTTGCACAAACTCCTGCTGCAGGCAGTTATGGGGGAGTGTTAGAATATATTTGTGTAACTGCCTGTAGCTGTAGTTTAGTGTAGCAATCATAAACTGTTGGTGGTGGTGCACCATTCTTCTCCCTTGCCTATTTGTACTGTTCGCTCCATAGTGAACGACATTCTCGTCCCCCTCCTTTGGCACAAACTCACTCGTCTCCCCGTGGCCTAGGCTACTAAGCCTAGGCCCTACTTAAACCTACTTTCTTGCTACCTACCTATCTTAACACCCTGTATAGTTTCGACTCGATTCAAATTGCAAAAACGAGATGGATTGATTGGTGAAGAAAAAACAGATTTCATATACGGATGTTATTATATATGCGCCGCCGCTTATCGCAATCCTTGATTTTAAGCGCACCCCCTAAAAATACGTGTATATCCGGGGGCTGACGGTAGGTCTCCAGTGGGAGGGGGGGTCTTATAATGTTAGATGCCATTTAGGGGGGTATAACTCGAATAGACTATAATAGCATCGTATAATAGACTCGGGGGTCTACAACTGGGGGGGGGTCTTATATCCGGGGGTTTACGGGTATGCCTAGATCTCAACAACCCTCAACCCTACTAAACGACATTTTAGCTGCAAGACTTAACATGGCTAGCGGATTTGTTTCCGCAATTAACAACCGTCCTCCCTCGTCTCGCATCAACACTCGGAGTTCATCTAGGCGTGGGCCGCCAAGGCGCGAGGACGACCGAACTTCGACTTCCAAGAAGGACCGGTCGCATTCTCCACGAAATGAGTCTCGAGCAGGAATTACACACGATGTCCGTTTGACTAACCCAAGGTTGCCTTGTGAAGGGGGCGCTTAAGTGATTCATGCATTTCGTGGAGGTTTCGTCAATTCGCGTCGGGCAAAAAGGGCTTATAGCAAAATTTTGTAACTCACCGTTGACTGTTTGACTTCGGTCTCTTCTGTTTCTGTGGTTCGTATTGGTTGACGTGCTTGTAACGTGGGTGCAACTGCCCGGGAAAAAACCTTCGTGTGCAAGGTTTCTGGAACATAAAAGGCAATTTCGCGTGCAGGGGTTGGGCATCTTGTGTACTGCTCTCGATTTGATTGGTGCAGCTAATCGCGGCACCAACCGCCGAAGCGAGGAAGATCGTGCGCCAATTTCGGCTGGCGCCTGTAACAACCGTTCGCACGATCCTGCCGGCCCGACCGACGCAGGAGCAGGAACGCGCCAAGGGCGAAATGACGCGGCCCCTGAACATCGCGCCGACCGTAATGATGGGGGGCCGCCTAGATTTTCCAATCAGAACGCCCCCCCTGTGGCCGCGGCAGCTACTGTATCGGCCCCTCAGGGGCGAGCGTCAGGCCAGCAGCAGGGGAGGCACACGCCAGTGGCACCTTCGACTGCTACACCTGAGGCCCCACAGGGACGCGCGCCAGTCCGAGAAAGGCACGCGCCTGAGCAACACGAGCCACACGCGCCTGCTGCACCAACGCGTGTGGCGAATCTTTCATAAGGCGAAAGTGTGAGGCGCTCGCCGCTGCAGAATCCTGACGAAATCGAAACGGCGCGTGCTGCAGCTCGTCCGGATCTCGTCGCGATGCTGGAAAATCTTGACGCCACCACTCACGGAAA